AAAAAAAAAAAAAAAAAAAAAAAAAAAAAAAAAAAAAAAAAAGACAAAAAAAATTCTCCAATTATATCATACGAGCCAACATATTAGGGCATTAGCCCTGTGCACATGTAACAAATGCGAATGGCACAGGTGTAACACATATATATGTAGATCGGTTGAACACACTTGTTCGTAACCACAAGTTTAATGGAGGGGGAACAGACACTACATCAGGTCTTTCTCCTCTTCTTGTTCTCATCCTTCTCTATCCGATTCGTGGTGCTAATCCTCTTGAGTTTTTCCTTTTCCTCTTCCGTTCGCTCTTCCTTCTTTTTACCCACATTTTTATATATATGGAATTCTTTCTCCGTTTTTAAGTTATCCTTTTTGTAATTCTTCCAGTTATTTACTCTTTCATCCCTTCCCTCAATCCACATTTTCCTTTCTTCTTCTTTTTTTTGCTCCTCCTTCATTTTTTCTTCTTCCTTTTCTTTAGCATATTGCAAATTGGCTAGCTTACATTTCTGTGCATATTCCATTTTTTCCTTTTGCACTTTTAGAAGATTTTCACATTCCTCGTTAATAAGTAGTTGCACCTCTTTACTAATTTCATACTCCTCTTCATTTTTGTTTAAATATTCGTTCAATTCATTTTTTATTTTTTTTAAATTTAATTTTTTAATAATGTTCTTCTTAGCCGTCTCGTAAACACTCTTGTACTGTTCCTTAATGTCGTCTCTTTTCAGTTCTTCATAAGCCTTATTTAAAATGTGGAAGGCTTCACCAGCTTTCTCAATTTTACATTTATCTGGGTGAATAAGAACGGACAGCCGCCTATACTTACTCTTAATCTTTTCCATGTCCACATCTTCATGTATATCAAATATTTCAAATGGGGAACTATTTTTATTTGCTAATAACCTATCAATTTCGCTTTGTGCATCCCCCTTATTTAGCTTTTTTCCTTCTCGTTGGTTTTCCATAGTGGACGAAATATTTTCAATGTCTTTCATAAAATCGTCAAACATATCATTCAGTGCGTCTTCACCTAGCTCGTCCGCTTCTTCCTTCTGCGTAATCTCATCACCGTTGTCTTCCATCGCGCTAGATGTATTATTGTCCTTTGGGTTCATATTTGGATCCGCGTCCTTTTCCCCACCCTGTACATTCGCTTCTCCATTTGTCGCTTCGTTCATTTTGCCTCTTTGCAAATTACAAACATTTAGCAAAGCGTATATTTATGCATACCACAGATGGGGAAAATAGAACAAACAGCATCCCTTCCAACAGATTCTGTCTGCCTCACCACAAAAAAAAAAAAAAAGAAAACACTTACATTTATGCTATACAGACTAGTCCTTTTAGAATTCACCCGTGGGGTTCACCAAATAGAGCAGCTATATTATATTATATTTGTACTCCCAAATTGGCTTAGATTCAAATATATGTGAAATGTATGAATTGCAATTCGTTATGCAACTCCTTTGTACCCCGCTTCTGTTCATGCAGCTTCTTTTTATGCTTGCGCATGGGCGTTTGTACCCCCTTCGGGTGAACGGTTAAGAATGTTAACAAAAAAGAAGCGCAAAAAAAAAAAAAAAACAGGAACACTCTTTTAATAGCAAAACATGTGATATATTATCCCATTCACCCATCCTATTTGCTGCGTTAACATCTAAGCACGCGAACCCGTTAATGGCTACCTAACCAATTTGGCCAAGGTGCCCAACACATAATTTTTTTTTTTCCATTGTTTCTGTGCACTTTGAAATGCCGCGTTAGCAAGGGGGCGGACGCGAACCCGGGGTGGGGCGTTCTACGCAGATGCAACAAATCGAATGTCAAATGGGACAATAAAACTCCTACATATATGCATGTTGCATAAGTATGTAGATACGTATGTTATATATATATATGTTCTTTTAAAACACATGCGCACGCATCGCGCGTTGTCATTTGTGTGAAATAAGTCCGACGAGAAAGTACTCCCCCTAAAATACCTCTCGCTTTTACACCCCTCTGTTTCGTAAAAATCAATTTTAACAAAAATGCTCAGTTTAGTTGTCCCCCCTAGGAAAAACTGCTGCAGTGGATTCACGAAATCGTTTTTGCTCAGCCAGGCATATTTGAAGCGTTCCACATTTACCTGCAAAAGTGCCAAACGTTTTTTTTTCCTGAGAAGGGGCTTCACAGAACTTAGTGCACATAAAAGCGGAGTCCCCATTTGGGATGCTCAAAACGCTTCCTACGCGTCGACCGGAGGTGCCAATAAAGACGGGGCCACATTCATCGAGGGGTCACAGGATGACCGCAGAGTCTGCGCAGAAGCGCCCTGTAAAGAGGCCCCCCTCGGAGGGATCCCTCCCGAGCAGCCTGCCCCCTCACCCGAACTAAGTGGTAGCCCGTCCTACGTAGACCGACGAAGGGCTCAACCAGGGGAGGATGCAGAATCCCTCCTTTGCAAAGACGAAGACGGAGGCGGCGAAACCAGCATAGAAGAGGCAGAAGAAATTGACAAAGACGCAAAGAGAAGCCTTCTGGAAGTATTCAAATACAAGAAATTTACAAATGTGCAAAACATAATATACGAAAATGTTATAAGAAAAAAAAAAACAAATGACCTACTCGTTCAGGCAAAAACAGGAACAGGGAAAACCATCTCATACCTACTTCTAGCAATAAATGACATTGAAAAAAATAGAATTATGAGTGTCCACACACTTATAATAGTACCCACGAGAGAACTGGCAAATCAAATTTATAACGAAGCAAAATTGCTGTTAACCTTTAAAAATAATATCAACGTGTTAACCCTAATTGGAGGAATCAAAAGAAGAGAAGATCAAATAAATCTGAGAAGAATTAAACCAGACATAGTTATCTGCACAGTAGGAAGGCTATTAGATCACTTTGAATGTACATACTTATTTAACACCCTGTTCGATAATTTGAAGATGCTCATAATTGATGAAGCAGACCAGCTGCTAAGCTTAGGCTACGAAAATGATATCAACAGAATGCTAACCTATTTGCCCAAGAACAGGAGGAACTTCCTGTTCTCAGCAACGCTAAGTCATAATATTGATGAAATAAGACAGAAAATGTGTAAGCAGGATTATATGTTCCTAAATTGTGTACAGGACCCTTCAAAACACACGAATGAACAGCTAAAGCAGTATGTAATTTTTCACAAAGCAGTTGACACGACTGTTATTTTGTACAATTTACTGATGGAGCATATGAGATTAAATCAATTCACATACAAAATATTAGTGTTTTTCCCAACTGCTAGAGCTACGTGGTTTTATGCAAATTTTTTTAAAACTCAACTAAAAATTTCGGTTTATGAAATTCATAGAAAAAAAGAACCTGCACAAAGACAAATAACAGCTAACAGATTTGCTGTAGAATCTGTAGGAATATTATTTACCTCAGACATAAGCTCTAGAGGAATTAACTACCCTGATGTAACCCTAATTATTCAAGTAAATTGTGCCATTTCGAGGGAGCAGTATATACATCGCGTTGGGAGAACAGCCAGAAGCAACAAAACAGGAACGGGCATTCTACTGCTGAATGAAGCAGATGAATTATTCTATCAACAAATAAAAGATTTAAATATTCAAGTGCTAAATACAAATGATTATTTATTAAAAAATGTTAACGTCTCCAATTATCTCAGCAGTTGGATGTCTAACACACAACTCCTTTACTTGGCTTATGCGTACTATTCTTCGCTCCTACGATTTTACAAAACAAAATATGCTACTCTTAAACTATCGGATGATGAAATTATTGACGTTGTTAATAATGCCTTGCTTTCCACCGGGCTCGTTGAGCAACCCCACATTTCCAGCAAGCTAGCCATTACATTAAATATGCAAAATAACACCAGGCTCAAAATTAGGAAAGACATCGATGACTTGCTGCTGTAGAGAGAGACCGCATATTTACCATCTCTGTCTGAGGTTGAAATGAACCCACAAGAAGGCGAATTATAATGCATACCTTAAGTGTAAGGGTACTATTAAAAATGGAGTTATCTGGTGGGAAATTGCCACATGTGAGTTTATTTGTGCACACGTTTCGTTACTAACCACGCGTTTGGATGTGGAGAAGCGGTAATAAAGAAGTCGTTCGCTTCTCTCCCCTCTTGCTAAAATTACGCTTAAAAAAAAAATAAACTTTCGCAAGAGTAACAAAGTAGAAATGGCCAAAAAGGGATGACACGCCATGCTCCTCCACGCCGCGCTTACAACAGAGGTTAAATCAAATTTTAGCTAACCCCATGGGGCTCCACATTTTGCATGTCTCTTACCACAACGGTGAGGTAAAAAGAGAGGGGTTCTTTTTTTTGTATATGTGTTTGTGGCTCCCTTTTTCTGCCTCATATGATCATCCACGATTATGTATTGTGCACCGCCTTCCTAACTACCTCTCTACACACACAGACGTTTCCCCCTAATACGTATAAATAACATTCCCCTCGATGAAAAAATACTTCTCCACCTTATCGTCGTAACATATGCCGTTAAACTGGCAGCCGTCCGTGAAAATGGAGTTTATTATTTCCCCGTTGGAATCTATTTCGAGAAACTTCCCCTTCTTTTGGCAACCACTTAAATCTTTGAGAAGCACAACAAAGTTCGTATTATCTGTGCATATGAACAAAGGGGAGTAGCAACCATCTATCTGAAGAAAGTGACACATAATATAAGAATTTCCTCTTTTAATTAATCTCACAATTTTATTTTCTTTCGTCAAACACACGTATATATCATGCGTCGTTCCCTTCTCATATACACATAGGTTATGTGCGTACGGCATGTTAGGGATATCTAGTGACATCATCGTTTCTATGTCTTTATTTACATAAAACAAGTTACACTTATTTTCTTCATTGATGTTTCCTGCATCGATAATATATAGCATGTTCCTTTTTTTATCATAAACCAAATTATTCACTCCTTGGAAATGCTGATCTTCGTACTCGTCTGTATACAGGTCCATTTCTTTCTTCTTGTTTATCACCATCAGCCCGCGGGTCACTTTAACATTTAGCGAAAGGAGGAGGGGTTAACATGTGCCAAATGGGGTTGCAAAAAAAAAAAAAAAAAAAAAAAAAAGGATAAGAATAATGCAGCAAATTAGTTGATAAAAATGCTATACATATTACACCATCAAGGTGTAAAACATAATGTCTGAGTATCTACTGAACCGTGACGGAGCGACACAAAATTAAACTAAATGTTAATTTCCCCACATACGGGACATATTGCATATAATGAGACAAGCAGGTTAAGTAACTGCCCTTTTGGGAGATGCTTCTCCATATCTAATGTGCACGTAGTACCCTTTCACAGTGTCTCACGATACTCTATATTGATATATATATTCAGCGTCACTGTGCATTGTATAGATGCTAATTTCTTTTTTTTTTTTTATTACTAGGGTCGAAAACGTAGAAGTTGTAATCGTTGTCCGCACACAAGCATTCCCCTTCAACATCAGCGCTATGATATCTCTCCCTCTCCGCGTGCAGAGTACTCGTTTTTTTTCTTCCATTTTGTGCATCTTCCCCGCTTTGACCTCTTTGACCATTTTCTCCGCTCTCGTTGCCACCGTCATCTGTGTCATCTCCATCTTCCTCTTCACTCGATGACGACGTGGAAGCTGATTTGTCTTTGCCTTTTCCATCCCATTTCTGGCTTTGCAATTTATACCTGAAAATTTCTCCCCCTGCTGCAATAACGCACAACGCACCTTCCACGTCTAAGCAAGGGGAATACAAATCAGAATCATTTTCGTAGAAAATTTCTATATTTTTTTTTCCTGATTTTTTTTTTCCCCTCGTTTCGTCTACTTTAAACGGGTAATTGACATCTAATTTGTAATCACCAGTGTCCATTTTATTTTATTTTTTTTTCCCTTATTGATGCTTATGCCGCTTTTATTTCCATCCCCTATTATTTTTGCTATGCCCCTTGTTGACGCTTCGTTTGTAAATGTCCCATGTCTGGAAGCTCCTCTACTTCTTCTTCTCGTTATTCACAGTGGATATGCCTTACCATAAGGTTGTTGCGCACTTTAGCGCCTGTGTACGTGCATTGAGTACGAAAAAACAAAAAAAAGAAAAAAAAAAAACTCATACAAAAATTTTACCAATCGAGACAATAGAAGGTTCTTACACGATTTATTCCGTATATAAACTTTTGTTCTCTCCTTCAGGCATATGATTGCTTCCCTGATGGTCATGGTCTACGGACATCGCTAACATTAGGGGCTTAATAAGTGTGTGACACACTCAGGAGGTAGAATTGAAGAGGGTTAAATTTTATGACAAGTAAAAAAAAAAAAAAATTGAAAATACGAATGGCAGCGCAGGTGCAATATTAGCCAACAGGAGCGCACCAAGGGGAAGGGCGGAAAAAAAAAAAAATTTCACATGCACGTTTTTACACATCCCAAGTTACAGTAAATTCATCATCCCATGAAAAGCGAAGTGAAAAAAATGTAAAAAACGGAAGATGGACACACAAAAAAATAAGTCGAAATGTAATTTAAAAAATTCCCTTCGTCACGCTAACTCTTTTTTACCTTTCCTGCTTTGTAGTTTTATGTGAAAATCGACATCGCTATATGTTCTTAAGATAAACTTTTTCCTGCGCATGTCTGAATCGGACAAAGACGTCAGGTCTCCTTCTACGGATTCTTTTCCTTTAACTCTTCTTTTATTCGTGCGCGTGCTTCCCCTATTTTGTGTACTGTCGTTGGGATCTTCCTTTTTACTTAACCCCACGAAATTGAGTATAGAATCTTTATGTGCATAATACAAATACGAGCAAACTGAAATTAGCGTTATCATTTTGATACGCGTAAATGTACTTCTCTGAAAATATATATGCGTGTATATATTCGTGAATATGCATGTCGGTCGTGGCTTGTGCCCCTCGCGTACGTCTCTAAATTAAAAAAATGAAAATCTTGGGGATGTCATCTGGTGTGCACTTCTGTCCATCCGTTATATCATATCCCCTCTAGACATGGTCGTTGTCATATGTTTTTATCCTTTACGTTTCTCTTAAATGTAATTAAGTGTTCTACTCCTGCGGGAAAACTCTTTGAACAAGTCCTGTGCGCCCCTTTTTAAACACGAATGTTCAGGTTAAGGTGGACGGACGCATTCATGTTGCGCATATAAATAGGTGGCACTATATTGTGTGCATCAACGTCGCTTGCGGGTGGCATAAAGCGTGCACATATATAATACACACATACACACACGCAGCCCTATAACTTCAAAAGTGACACACAAAAAAGGGCCATTTTGCCATACGCCGCTCGAAATTACTCTGTTACGCGAATTTTTTCATATAAATTGAAGAAAAACACAACAGTTGCAAATTCGTTGGGAACTTCTACATTATGAAAGAAAAAAAAAAGCGCAATGAACTTCACAAATCGGACTCAACAAAAGAGGAAAATTCATCAAGATGTGGTTGTAATTTTTTTTAAATTCCACTTGCTAATTGATAATTTTTTTTCTCTCGATATAATGTTGCACAGAGACGTGAAAGAACAAAAAAAAAAAAGTGTCCCTTAAACCGTTGTTCTTAAATTCTTCATTGTTCTGCCGCTGTCCCCGTAAGGGTTAAAGTTAAAAATGACAGGAAAAAAAATCCTCAAGTTGTGTGGAAATAAAGTCCAAAGCTTAAGAAAATAAACCGCCTTGTTCCATTTATGCAAAAATGTCATTTGACAATATCGTTTTTAAAAAGGCAGATTTACTGAAAAATGGATATACATAAATGTGCGTGTAAGAATGAATTTGTGAACATATTTGCAGGTTTTTTTTTCTTCGCAGTAAGCGAAAAAGTCTTGTTAAAAAATTAAAAAAAAAAGTAACGCGCCATCGCCATAAAAAAAAAAAAAAAAAAAAAAAAAAAAAACTTCATTCGTTAAGTATACAAAAGTTTTTTTTTTTTTAACGTTCTTCCTTGTTGGAGAATAATGCCACATATACAGCTTATTCATTAGTGACACAGTGGCGTGGAACTTGCCTACGCCAGTTGGCTTATTTGTTAATTTGGCCAAAAAGGCAACTCCGCTCGGGAATTTCGAGACAGCGGTGTATCCGTCTTCGCAACCTCCGCGCGTTTAATTTGGAAAATAGGGAAGAAGGGAAAGTTTAAGGAAGCCATAGATGGGCTAAAACAAACAAGCTAAACAAAAAGAACGATCCAGGAAACAATGCCATGCACACGCAATTTACCCGCGTTTGAAAAAAAGCGCGGCGTCCAGTGCGTTACCCATTCGTGTGTGCACAACTTTTTTCCCATTTTTTTTGTTACCGCGCACGCTAAATACCCTCGTCGTAAATTTCCTCGTGACCTACGTGCGGACTTTTATCGAGAGGCCGTTCAATGACCCATCTAGGGGGGTTCATATTTCTCTCAGATTTGTCCACGGGCCAATCGAGCAAGCAGTCATGTCTTTCTTCAGATGGAATATATTCCCCCTCGGACACAGATGGGCCTTTCTTAATTTGTTCTCGTCTTTTATCAATTTCTCTCAAAAACTTTTTCTTCTTCTCCCATAATATTTCTCTTTCCTGTTTCGATTGGGGACTTTCTGGGTCTATGTCATATTGCCTATGTACATCCTTTCTATAAAGCCATTTTTTGGCATCCTCCAATTCTTCTGCAGTTGTTTTATATTTATTCCATGGCACATCAGTATATCTATCTTTGTCCATATAAAATTCTGGGTTTCTAAATTCTTCCTGAACAGATCCATCATCACATGTGTGGCAATTATTGTATAGTGCATTTTCCATGTACTGAAAATTTTCAGATATATAATCAATAGTTTTTAATAGGGCACTTTTGGGCGTAATAGAACCATCCGTGTGCATTTCGACAATGTTAATTTCGCCAAGGGTATCCAAATTGATCCCTCTCCTTTGTCCCATAAATCCAAAATATTCCACAGGGGTACAACTACTGCTAAAATGAATAAAATTGTCTTTACAAATATCTCTATTTCGTGATTGGCTTCCATATTCTGGCATGACATATTCTTCAATGCTTTCAATTTTTACATCCATTTCTAAATAGCTGCCAGCGGACACGGAACAGATATACTGATTTTTGTTAACAATTTCGATTCCTTTTGGTAATTGCATATGTCCAGCCACAACGATCATGGGTCCCTTTATCCGAAATTTCCCTGTGATGTAATTATCAATATCTGCATGTTCAGGCACATTTTTAAAAGTTATATGTCTTAAATTCTGAGCTAAATCAAAAAAATTTTCTCGTACTCCAACTATACAATAAAATTCGTGTTTCATATTGGGGATTCTCAAAGCTGTAACTCGGCCTCCTTTTAAATGTTTTATCGCTACTCTTCTAAAGGCATTCAAAAAAATAGGAGACAATTCTACTTCATGGGAATGCATAAAAAAGTAGGTGTAAGCCCTTCCTTGATGATATTTTACAGGCTGAATTTGTTTAAATTTGAAACCAAATGTTTTCGGTCCCCCTTTTTTGGCATCAAAATATGATTCATCCAGCTGACTTTTGTTCAACTGATAAGAATCTATTGTGGACTTTTTCTCCTTACATAATTCATCGAAATATTTGTTATACGTATGAAAATCGTATACTTCAGGTTCATACTCCTCTGGTTTCCCTTCGTATGCCTTTCCTCCTTCGTATATGTATGGCGGCAACTTACCCTCTTTCCTATCTATTTTATCCGCCTTTTGTAAATCTATTTCTTTACCATCCTTTTTTGTTACATCACCCTTGTATACATTATACCTATGTTTTCCAGAAGCCTGTTTCCTGGACTTCATCCATAGGGAGTCTTCTCCTTCTAAATTATCTCCCTCTCCTTTCAACTCGTCTTTCAATTGGTCATCGTTCTGTCCAATTGCATTCGGGTTATCTTCCCCATTCAGCTGCGCCCCATCCTCCGTCCTTTCCTTCCCGTCTTCACCAAAAACATCGAAGCGAACAAGTTCTGGATCATCCTTGGATTCTTCATTTATTAAGTGGTCATCCCCTAACTGGTCGTCGTGCACATTGTCGTAATCTTGATCATCAAATTCTTCGTACTCATTCGAATCGTCTTCTTTGCTTAACTGGTCATCCCCAAATGAGCCGAACTTGAAAATGTCCCTGTTGCGAAAGTTTCTATTCCCAGACTCCTCTTTTGTGTAATATCGTCTAAGGTCGCTGCTTCTGCCTCTCGCTTTGCTGTCTAAGGGTGAGTGAAAAGAAGCAAGACCATGTGCACAAGAGATTAATGTACTATCTCTGTGAGGTATATGTACTTACGTCATGGAGGGGGTAGGGAATTCCCTTCGTGCAAACAGTTTCCACGCACATTTCTTTCCTCTTTTTCGTCTTACGCTTAGGGTATCCCGTGTGTACAGGCAAAAACGCAGGGTTTCTACTTTTCAATATTAAGCCGAAATGCGATGGATTAGCAGTAGCGAAGGCCAGGACTAGAAGTAGAATTAGCATCATATAGTATCTGTTTGCTGCTGGTGTGACTCTTCGCGCACTGCGTCTCACCAGGGTTCATTTTGACTTCTTCCAAAAAAAAAAAAAAGGGAGCATATCCAACCGCCGAGTAGGGAGGCTCATTGACAGGTGATTACATATGTACGCACACATATATATGCGTTGATATAATTGAGGGAGCCTCAAATAGGAGTGCTTCTTGTCTTTTCTTTTTTCCCTAATGTACACATACAACATGCGAAGCTCAAATGAAATTCACTAATTACGGGCAAGACATATTTTCATTTTCTTCGCAAGTAAAAGCAACCTATTTCATCACTAGCCATAAGGGTCCACTTCTTACAAGTTATAATGAGCTGGAACGAAATAAGCGCAGGTGGGTCTATTACAGACAGAGCCCTGTCTCAAATGTGTTGCAACCACGAGGTAGTTACCTACACCCTAATGCTTAAATGCGCAAACACGAGCATAGATTCTCCTCTTGTACACACACACGACGAATTCGTTCCAGCTAGATGGAGCGAAAGGCTTGTCCTTATAATTTCGGTACGCACATTTGTTCCTTTTTTTCCTGCTCAAATGGTTACCACTTCGCTTATCCTTACGGTGCCTTCTAAAACCCGCCTTATATATATATTTCTCTGCGGATTGGCAATTGTGAAATTTCCTGCTGTGAATAGGAATTCGAACGGGGGGGAGGGATCCATCTATACATGTGCATGTGTACGAATGTACATGTGCGTCCAAAGTTATGAGCACTGCTTATTATTACACTAATCCAATATACCTTTACGTTCGCGTTTTTTCAATTCGATTGTGCTGCTCTAACTTTGCTAATATATGCCTCCACTTTTTCATATTATCTCATTTTCCCATTCTCTTACATTCTTATTTACTTTTTCTTTTTTTTTTCCCCCTTTTTTTGTTCCTTTCCTTTCTTTTTTTTTTTTTTTTTTTTTTGCCTCTCTCACATGTTCGCTCTTGGTGCGACTTCAAAATTTATTTTTTCCCTGCCAGCACAAAATGTCAAATCATTATTCCACGGATACAATTTCTTAACTGTTAGATGTGTGCAATAATATTGTGAAAACAAAAAATTTTTTCCAGCATTTTTTGAGATTTTTTTTTTTTTTTTTTTGAAAATAGAAGTAACTTTTTAAAAAATAAAAATAAAAAAAAAATTAATCGAAGGAACGGGAAAAGGAAAAAGTAAATCCCATTTAGTACATATTTATATATGTACCGTGCGTGCCATGCGTTAATGGCGAAACTGCGTACTTGATGCTGTGCGTGTTATTCGCAAAATCGCAAGCAAGCAGGTACGTATGTACGTGTATACATATAACATGGCATGCTTACCTCTCTCAATCCGTTTTTTTCATCCCTTCCAGTTCATTCGATAGCTTACCCAAGTTGCAGCAAACTGTACAACTTCAGAGCATCATAGTATCGCTAAACTGTGAAAACGTTTCCATTTTGTGGGAGAGAGAAATTCTTCCACAAAGTTAACATCTTTTTAACCTTCATCATCTTGCGCAACTTCAAAAGGTACAAGTTTAACATCAAGTCGAGAAAGGTTTACATATGCATATATAAACGTATTGTGTGGAACATTCCCCCCGTTTTTTTTTGTGTAGGCCTAATGGAATTTTTTGAAAAATGCATACATATGGAGCCTGTACACGTGCATATATATGTCCTTTTTTAAACGATGTGGAAAGATTTTTAAGTCCATAACCGTTGGGAGATTTCTATATATTTTTTTTGTTTTTGTTTTACCCTCCTGTGATGGTCTATATGTACATGTGCCTGTATGTGTCTGTATTCGTGCCCACCTACATGTATATATTTATAAATATACACATAAAAGTGTGCATATCCCAGGCGCACGCTCCACGCGGACGCCACGCAGACTCCACACAGGAGGCACGCCCGTAACTATACATGCGCGAGACGAAGAGATATAATGGATAGCGGAGGAATCAGAAAAAGAAAAGATGCAAAAGACAACACAGTAAACATGCAAGGTGGGATGAATTTCCCATCAAATGAAGCCGCGGCAAATAGTGCAAACTGGAACAGCGGCAGTGTGACAAGAGGGAAAAATGAACATTGGGATTCGAAGAGAAATCAATTAGGGTTTTCCTCAAATGTGGGTTCAAGCGCCAGGAGGGACTCATCAAGCGATAATTCTAAATCTGACAAAAAGAAATCTGTAGGCATATTCAACAGTACGAACATTAGTGCTATATCAAATAACTGTATGAAGTCGTTTAACAATATGTTGAATAATATTAACTACAACATAAACAGCTCCGTAGGCCATGGCATTGGTGGAGGAGGCCACTTCAATAATAGACCAGGGGCCTCAGCGGATACCACCTTCTACGAAAATCAGTTTAAAAATCTGAACATCGCTAAAGGGATAAGTTACCTAAGCAATATTGCCAACCCACAGAATACATTTTCCTCCGATAGTAGGAATATGCCAGACAACAAAAGCAACTTTAACTTTTTCCGTGAGTACGAAAATAACCTAGCACAGAAAAGGGATAATAATACAAGTGGCACAAATCAGTACAGTAATTCCTCACAGGGGAATTATGCCAATGCCAGTAGAACAAATGTGACGAGGCCAACAAATAAAGGCATAGTTAATAGCCAAAATATTGAAAGCTTTTTAAATAATAAAGGAATTCAAAATCCAAATTATAACATCACAGGATTTGGAAATAATTACACAAGTGAAATAAATAACTTAAGAAATATAAATAATGATGAGACGTATTGTACATGTCTTGATAACCTCCTACGAAATCATGGAAATATTGATTCAAATGAAATGTTAAAATATAATGATAAAAATATTAATTGCTTAAACGATATAATATTCTTAGATGTCTACAGAGCATATAACGTTTTAACTTATATGCAAGAAAAAGTTAACATTATAATTTACACCATAAAAATAATTGGCAAAAAATTAAAAAAAAAACATGTCCCAGAGGAAGTAGTAATTTCTTTAGAGTTCCTAAATTTCTGTGTCAAGAATTTAGGCCTTTTTTTTGTTCGATTTCTAGATGAAAGTTTTATGAAAAAAATAAGTGCTCTCTTAAAAACAACAACTTTGAAAAAGTCAATTACGAAAGATGTCAAGTCCAAGTTATCAAAATTTCTCATCGTCCCAATTATACACCCAGGAGTAGCAACAGATCCAAGACTCCATTTTATAAAGAGAAAAATACTCTTCATGTTACAATTATGGCATGATTCCTTTATCCTCCATCAACATGTAGCTGCTGCTGTTTTTGATGAATATAAATCCTTGAAGGAAAAAGGAATTACCTTCCCCATTATTAATAAGGCTGAAAAATTTTATGTCAAAAATGCAGACACCTCACCATCCTTCTCCGACGATAATATACTTCACGAATTGCCTCTCAACTTGCCACAAATTAATAATATCATGAAATGTTTAAAAGAAATTAAACACATGAATAATGATGAGGAAAAGTCAAAATGCATTACAGTCGTTGCTAAGTATAAAGATCTTGTCTTCCAAAGTATTAATAAATTGTCCGACTACAAGGGCAATGTCAACATTTCTGTTACGCTAAATTCACTTCTCTACATCAATGACCAGATATGTATTTTTGAAAAATGGGAAAAGGAGCGAGAAAACGCGGACGGAAGCGAAAATGGGTTTAAGTCCACCCCGAGGGGCAAGACAACCGAAGAGGAAACAGAAAAACTCAAGCAAAAGGGTAAGAAAAAGAAAAACAAAAAGAAGGAAAATTTGGACCAATCAAATATGAACGAAATTATTTTTAACAAATACGACCCATGGAATACAGAAAAGAAGGAAGATAAAAATCAAGCGGAACAAGAAAAAGATATCTTTTTCAACGAACCGGTGGAAAAATTTACCAGCGCCCCTTCTGCCAATTTTATGAACAAAGAGGTAGCAACCCCATTTAACGGTAAAAAAGGTGCCCCTTACGACAGTGAAAATATGTTTTCATTTTTTGGTGAGGAATCCATCAAACCGGAGGAAGGAAAAACTACACCTAAAAAGGATAACGAGCTGGAGGACGACAAATATAGCTTTTTCAACGAACTCCACTTTAGTAATGATTCTGCTCATCAGCCAAGTCAAAACATTCAACCGGGTCTGGGTAGCCTTAACGTCACTTCCCAAACCACAGCGCAGAAACCATCGAATCAACTGCCCCCCCTTCATTTGGCGCAACAGGATGGTAACTCACCCAACAATAGAACAAATCGAAATAACAATTTTGATAGTGGCCAAGGTAAGAATAATTTATCACCAAAGGGACAGGGACAAAATTCAAATATCCATTCAAACACATCCAATGGCCTTCCCCCCCATGGCTACAATTTCCCATTACACAAAAATGAGAGACAGGAAGTAGTTTCCATTCCTGGGATGACAAACCCCTCGCCCATTATTCATATATTAACAAGTGAACCACACGAAGAAAACTTCCAAGTAAACTTAACAAACGACAGTTTCGACTTAACACAAATTGAAATTTCTAACCACTCATACTTCAGTGAGAAAAGTAAAAACCTACACGGAGGATTTAGTGGTGACTCTCTCACTAATGACACAAATGTGACCTCTGCCAATATACAAAATGGTACTGTAGTAAAAGCTAGTAACATAAACGACCTTGCCAGTCGAAATAATTCACAGAGAGGGGGGAACAAAGGCATTATGTCCATGGATAGCGTCCCCCCTTTTAATGCAATCAATTTTGATAATATAATTGATTCTGTAGGAAGTAACCAAAATGCGTTTAAGCAAAATGAACCGAAAATTACTGCGCAGAGGAACATCACCAAGGAGGAAGCTCTTACCAGCGAAAAGGCAAATGAAGCTAACTTTGATTATTTATTCGAAACGTTTGATTTTGCCCCATCGGATAATAACAGTGCTGAGGCGAACGTGAAAATGAATGCAAGTGCCGTTGCTCAAAAACAGAACAATTTGAAAACCCCGCCCGATGTAGCACCAAGCGAAGCGAATAAACAAATAAATGCAAAGGGTATGTGCGAGATGCCAATCGAAAATGTGCATGGAGGAACATCTGACATGGTGCTGGACCAAGTGAACAAGGAAGCCACAAGTATGAACGCAAAGCACAACCCAGTCAGTCACAACACAGTAAATAAGGATGACTTGTACAGCCACCTAGACCACCTGACCCCCGTCAGTAGCGTCAATGATGAATCGATCAGCGGAGATGATAAAATTTCATTCCACAAACACAAAAGTAATAGTGACAGCCCAAATAATACTTCGTATTTGGAGGAAGAAATTCCAAAAAAGGGTTTTCAGAAGGGTGGGAAAGTTGGTCAAAGCAAGGAGGAACAACACGTTCAAGAGAAGCACCCAGGCAGCACCCTCATAGCTGAGGAAAAAGAAAACGAAAAGAATAAAAAGGAAGACATCTCCGATGAGGTAAGCAACTCCGATTCCAATGATATAAACTTTGACGAGATCGACGAAATAACGAAAGCAATAGATGACCTCAACGATAACTTTGAACATATGAATATATATAAATATGATAATTAAATACAGAGGAATTCATAAGACGTACACAACGGGAGATCCATTCTGGCATGATTGTCGAATAGGCAGGGAAATTTTTACACTCCCTTGTACCCTATGTCCTATATTCTCCCTTATGTACTTCTTAATCGATCAGGATATATTTTTTATTTATTTGTTTTTTTTGTACTTATGAAAAAAAGTTTTTAATTCATTTTCCCCCCTTTTTTTTCATTAATATACATGCTACATGCTATTACACATTTTTGCGTCTGTCTCTGATAAAATTGTTTGAATGTTTTTTTTTTATTTTTTTTTACGTATATAATAACTTTTTTTTTTTTTTTAAATTAAAAAGTTTGAATTTGTTTTTTAATAAAAGTAATAAAAAAAGGTTAACATCCTGGGAAGAAGGGACATGCGTCCATCTCCCCGTGTTGCATGCAATGTTGTGTTGCCCCTTCCTATACAGGATGCACACCTTTCCGTTGAATACAGTTTTAAAAACATCATTTGGAAATTGAGGGAATGGGGGAGGAGTAATGTGTTACAGAGGGCGTGCATGATCGATACTCGACCTTGTCACAGGGCTGATAAGGCAAATGTGATTACAAATGGACGTGAAAATGTAAGCACGAGGGGGGTACACAAATTGGGAAGAAATGCAGTAGGACGGCTAAGCCCCTTATATACACATGTATACATCATGTAGGCACGATGGAAGAAGCTGCTATTAAAGTGGGCAATTCGAAATTTATACGAAACCTCGGGGAAACTCTCACCATAACACTACATGTACATACATGTGCGTGTTCAAAGTTGCCTTTTTTGGATTTGATTTGTAGTTCTCCACCTTGCGCACTCCTTGCATTTTTTTTTTTTTTTTTTTTTTTTTTGTATGTGTGCACAAATCAGGCATGTGCAGGGTCATCCGAGGAATCGTGAAGTAGGACATATTCTCGCGCTGAACTTCCAAACCGTAGTATGTCAGTTTGTCTGCACATTGGGGGAAGAGGGGAAATATATGTTTTTGTGTTATCACCTCATAACAGGAACACATTCGGGGGGACATGGATAATTCGCACATGAAGGAGCCACAACGAGTTATAACTCTATGGGGCAGCTCTTTAACATAGCTAGCGCACTCAGGGACGATACATCTCCGTAGTGTTCCTAGCAGCTTCCCCTCTGGCCGCATCTCACACTTACCTCAATTCGTAGTACTTGTTAGGCTCGATTAGGTCGTTGTTCAAATATGACCCATTGGTGCTACTCAGGTCCAGGAGAAAGGGCAGAACTTCGCTTTCATGCTTCTTAAATTGTATTATCGCGTGCTGCTTGGATATGCTGGGATTTGCTAGCTTTATGTCTACCACCAAATCGTCCTTTCCAATTAGGTAGCATGATTTGCGGTGTAAGTGGAGTATTTCTGCACGAAGGGGGGAGAGGGGAGGGAAATGGTGTGCTATTAGATTGCCAATGAAGTAACGTAGGTGAATCACCAAATGGGAGTTACTCACACAGAGTGATGTTCCCCCCCTCATTTATTCCTTTATGTGTACTATCACCACGTATGTGGCTGCTCGCTGGTACCTATGGTAACCTCCTCGCGTATCTCACTTGGCGCACCCCTTTTGGAGGACATATCCCAAAATGTACCCTCGCTGTTTTTTCTTTTTTTTTTTTTTTTTTGTGAACTTACCCGCAGGATCTTTCGTGTTGGCATTGAGGAACACGTACAATCTCCACTTCTTATCCGGAAGCTCGGCGTCTATACTTTCAATATACTTCAACTCTACTCCATTTTTATACTTCTTGTCCTGTGCAAGTAACCCCGAGGGGTTGAAATTCTTCTTTTCCTTTGGCTCATTTGTATTTGCTTCTTCCCCTTCTTCAGCATCTTTCTGTTCGTCTTTTTTTACATGGACATTTTCTGAACTATTACCCCTCTCCTCGTGGTCGTAACTATGCATATCGTCCTTATCCCTTTTGCTGTCTCTTCGATGTTTGTCTTCTCTGTGACGCCTGTGCCGGTTATCATATTCATTATGCTGTCCCGTGCCCGTTTCACTACTGCTGTCATAACTGGGGAACCCGCTACGATCAGCACGCCTGCTGTCTCTGAACATTTTATTTTTTTCCTTTTGATAATATTTTTTTTTTCTTTCCCATGTTGGTTCTTCATTTGTGTGTGATCTGCTGCTACTACGATTTTTGCGTTTTAATTTTTTGGAAATGTGTTCCCTTTTACGTCCATCGTCTTCGCTTTGCATGAGTTCGGTTTGATCGGCACGCGTTTTCCTCTTGCCGTGAGACGTCATTTGTTTGTTCTGGCACCTGTGTTCAGATCGCCTGTTTCTAATGGAATGGCGCTGTTCGTCCTCTCGGTCTGCGCGGCGCGCTCGTCGTCCTGGGCGATCGCAGCTGTCGCGAGCATCGCGACTTTGGCCACGTCGCCTGCTTGGACCGCTTCGACCACTTGGACCACTTCTGCTGCGTCTGCCCCTTTTGCAGCTACTTCCTCTTCTGCCACTCCTACTTCTCCCACTTGTGTCGCTACTTGGGCTTCCGCTGCCGCCACGACCCCGCCTCTCGGCATGCACTGTGTACTGCGTACACTCTACTGTTTTTCCATCCATTTCTAACCTAGCATTTTTTTCATACTTATCATAATCTGTGCACCTCTCTCATGTTTCTGGAATTTTGCATAAAATCCAGTTTTCTCCGCCCCTTAAAACTTCCCACACTTTTGTTCTTTGTGCCTTTTTCATTGTCGCGGCAAGAATATCTTCTGCCGCTTCATCATGTTTCTCTCCATTTGTTCATAGCTTTGTGCGTTGGCCATATTGTGCTCGTTATAATAGTTCTCGTTATTATAAAAGTGCTCGTTCGCGTGCGCATTTCTATTTTCCCCGTTCAACACCCTTTCGAGGCCATTTTGAAAGCCACTTCTACGTGCATTTTCAAGTGCACTTGCGGGATATATTTGGGCACCATTTTGGAGAGCACCTCTGCTGTCATGTTGAAAGGCAATTCTGTGGTTTCTCTTACAGTTACAGCGACGATTTAGCCCATTTGCCCCGTTCAGCCCATTTGGCGCATTCAACCCATTCTGCCCATTTGTCATTCGGTAATCTGGCTGGGAAATCACGTCGTCCTCCTTTACGTCTTCCAAGACTTCCTCCATGCGTCGAAGAATAAATTTCTCTTCCTCTGTCAATCCCTTTTCCCACATTTTTCCGAAATCGCCTACGGACTCGTCGCACGAATAATCAGTGTCACTCAAATAATTACCATTGTATACATCGAGATATGCCTCGTCCTCATCCCTAACAGCTGGCATGTTTTCGTTTTTTAAGAAGCATATGTGTAAAAAGTCGTTGTATCTCGCTCTGATGCCGTTTAATATATCGTCCGAATTGTCTGCACTGTCTCTGTGGTTCTCGTTTTCTGCGACGACCGCGTTCATTGCATTTGCTGGTGTTGACTCACTATGTGTATTACCTTGTGCGGGCGAGTCCTCCATGTTTCTTTGTGAAGCGTTTAAACCTACAATTGCAGTGCCATTATCAGTCACGGATTCCTTTGGAGATGGGTTTTCATTCGTGTATTCGCCTTGCCCCACCACTCTGTCGACCTCTGCGATGTTGTTGTATATTGCGATATCGTCGTATATGGCAAAGTCGTTGTGAGCTCCTATTCCATTGGGAACTATCATTGCATTGCGCGCTGCGATTCTATGGGGAGATACCATTCCGTTGTGCATGGCGACCCTATTTGGAGATACCATTCCGTTGTGCATGGCGACCCTATTTGGAGATACCATTCCGTTGTGCATGGCGACCCTATTTGGAGATACCATTCCATTGTGCGTGGCAGATCTATTCGGATATAACATTCCGCTGTGTGTTGCCATTCGGTTGTGAGCTGCTATTCCATTGTGAGGTACAGTTATGTTAGGACTTGCCATTCCGCTGTGTGTTGCCATTCGGTTGTGACCTGCTATTCCATTGTGAGGTACAGTTCTGTTAGGACTTGCCATTCCGCTG